TTTCGTTGCACCTCGATCATTGCAGTTGTGCGCGGCATTTGTTTTTCTTTCTATTTTTGTCGGACCAACATTGTATAGCGTTCCGGCGAGATACGATGATGCCTTTAGCGTAACAAATATATTTCCAGTGAAAAAGACCATCAGTTTGTCTGTACAAACTCACACAAAAATGACAACTCTATAGAAATTAGAAAACAAAAGAGCAAAAGGAGAAAATGGAAAAGAAGATGTGAAAAACAGTGGAACATGAAACAATGAGCAAAAATAACACACACAAAGTTATACAGGTGGATAGGCATGATGATGATAACGAACACGCATCGGCCTTTTTGTGTTAAACTATTTGTGGGTTAGATATGAATGTGCAAGCAAAGAAAATGCCAGCTAAAAGCCACCCTCATTCAATGGCGATGGTAAGAAATGAAAAAAACACACACACACTTTCGAAAATGAATAAAATCACTCATAAATAGATACGAAAAATGAATATGGAAAATACAAGAAAATGAAAAACCATAAATTTATGACTTAATTCGTTTATTAACATACTTCCGTTAGTACGAATGTCTATATTATTGTAAAATTGTTATACTCAAAATAATTAGTAGCTTCACACAACAATTAACTCAACCCTTTTTATCAATGTAAACATACGAACATTTCATTATGACGCCGCCACCCTGAAAAAATAATTATTGGTGTGAGGTGTGGGAACCAAACATGTACATCTACGTACAAATCAATGAAAATCGAACGGCTAAGAATTCTTACATACAGTCTTATTTTAGTGGATCATATAATCTTTGTGTCGATGAAAAATACAGAAAATAGCAAAGTTGGCCCAACCATCCAAACACATAGACACACTTTGCCACGCTTAATACATATATACAAAGATTTCGGTTTTGTCAAGGGACAAAAAAAACTTAAATAAAGAATTGAAACGGTGAATTAGTAAACAAAATAAGATGTACAATCTTTGAATGCAGTGAATGTAACGTTGAAAAATCTGGTTCCATCGACACACAATTATGAGCAAATGTTTCGACATTCATTCAAATATTTGAGCAATAAAGAATCATTCTCAATTTCATTGATCAGTTTTTCATTTAGTCGATGGCAGATGCAATCTTCAACCAATTTTATACGCTTGCAATGTGCATTTAAATGGTCGTAGATCGCATACTCGTGATTATATGAACTAAGCAGTACTCGTGTATAAAATTTTATCTTTAACAGGATCTTTCAGCCTTCAACCGGGTGCAACGGTATTTGATTTTTTTATGTGTATAAATTTCTATTTTCGTTTCCTTCTCGAATATACTCACACCACTGGAATAACAATAATGTTAGATGACGTCCAGAGAAAAGTATTCGAAATACCGTCTCAAGCATATAGTTCAAAAATATTGGACAATTCCATATATTCCGAATCGACTTTGCATCTGGTTACTTCTAAACCACTGCGACCATATAAAATCAATATACATGGGTTCGATTTGGTACTCTTGATCTTTTTTGATATCTTTGGATCGTTTTTTTGTTTTTGGTCATTTCGTAGTGTTTTCAATTACTGAAGCTGTTAATTTATGATTGTTGCAGAGAATTTCTAAATGTTTTTTTTACAAATTATTTATTACGTACTTGAAAATGTTCAAGTATGTGCTGAATTGCTTGGCCGCAATGAATTATTTCAGTCGGAAATGAGTGAAAGGAAATTCAAATAAAATTGAATCATAAAATCATTCAAAATTGTTCATCCTTGTTCACTTTATAGTTACCATTTCTTCTCTGCTGGGTAAGAACGTAAGTGAATCTATATGCATACGAAATTCCCATGGCATTTTTCAGAGATAGGGAGAAAGAGAGTGAAACGAAGAAAAAGAACTGTCACTTCAAAAGAACAAGTTTCATGAAGACATTTTTCATGAATCAATAAAAAAATCTCGTAATATTTTTTGTTCACTAGTTTATTGGAAACGAATAGTGGATTTACATACTTTGTATATTCTTGATTTCATTCAACGCACAATGTCAATATTAAAACGCTTTTAAATATGTCAAATTTCATCCGATTAAATTATTTCTTGATACAGTCTAACGCGTTTCGTGTTTATATTCTGAATATGGTATTACGCTACAGCAACTGTTTAATAGAGTTGTGTGTTTTGTTTGTGTGCGGTAGTAGCATGCGCGTGTTCACGGTTAATTAACTCCGAACCGAAACGTTCAAAGTGCTTACAGAAATGTTATAGTGAATGAAGTGAAATTAGACGGACGAAGCTCTTGAAATACTTGAAATGCAAAGAACAACCAACCATAAATAAAAATGTTTTCATTTTGAGTGTTTTTAACAGTAGAATGGATGTTAGCATCTTCTTTTTTGATGAACTTAACTTTATTTTGAATAGCAGAGCTGGTTCTTTTACTTTGTACCTCACATTTATGTTTTGATAGCAGTACCAGTGTTTACATAATTATTCTTAGTTTTGATCGAAACATGAGGTCAAGACAGTGACAACCGGTGACAACGACTTCACTTTTCAAAAATATACTTTTTGCTTTAGTCGTAATTCTCGTTTACTATTTCGCAATCGAATAAAAAAAATCTGCGAAAATATGTCATCTACAAATGGTCAACAAAGGCTTGATCAAGAACCTTGATTCAAGATGTGATTTGATAATTTTAAAAACGGTTCTTTACTCGTACACTTTTAAATGTTCGAATTAACGTGATCATTTAATTAAAATGTAGTTCTGAGGAATCAATTTTCGAGGTACCGTGAATATGAATAACACTGATGATCTCCAAAAAAAGATCGAAAATTGAATTTTTATTGAAATTGATCTAAAGAAAAATTTGAATATTCTACTGCTAACAAGTTTTATCATTTAAAAACAAATAAAATCCAATTTGAAATGATGAAAATACTGCCGCGTTTCTGTGGTGAATTGGTTTTTTCGGAACCATAGATGACGCAGATGGACTTAATCGCATTCAAATGTAAAATTTGCTAAGTTACTAATTTAATTAATAAAATCTATCGCATAACAAATATAAAGACGTTTACGGAACACAGTGCGACCATAAATATAAAAGTCATTACATTCATCGCATAAAAATCGATTGCAATATTAGAATTAAATAAAAATAAAAAAAAATAAAAACATTAACAACTATTTCAATTTTGAGGAAACAGAAAGTCCAAATCGTATTTGATCCATAAATCAATTAACTTAATCGGCATTTGGAATTCAAATGCATCACGTGCCTCGAGCTTCTCTCTCTCTCTCTCTCTCTCTCTCTCTCTCTCTCTCTCTCTCTTATGACAATCTTTAATTAAAGGATGGAATCTCGATCATTTCTATAAAATTCACATTTGGTTCATTGACATTTTAATCAATTTTCTGCATCTCAAATCGAAACAAGACCGAAAATCCTTTTACTCAAAGATTAAAAGTGTTTCTCTTTTCTTGTTCGCTTTATGCCAAACTGAATAGCCAATTCTGCTCGGAGACTTTATATTATATCTTTTTCCCGTTTACATTTTCATTTCAACGATTTTCGATTGGTATTTTAGTTGGTTGTGTGTCGTAAGATTCTCACGGTTGATCGAGTTTCTCATGTGAGATATAAAACTTCTTTTTTTCTCCATTTTTCATTGTTCGTCATTTTCTTTTTGCTTCGTTTTGAATTCCGCTTGTTTAAATGTAATGAAAACAGTATCGCAAATAACTGTGGACATGTGAAATATTTCTGTTAAAAAAGTACTCATACCTCGGTCCGAGGTTATGTTTGTTTCATTCATCTCTTGCTGTTTTTTTTTTCTCTCGGGGTATTTATGAAATCATGCTATTTTCCATGACATTATTAAGATCAAACGAAAGCATAAGTTTCTACATCTCAAAGAGCTAACTTTAATCAATGTTATACATACTGACAAAACAAATCGTTACAATTTGTATGGAAAATGTTACTTAATTTAAGTTAACTCAAGTTAATTTTGAAAAATTCAATGATTTTTCAGTTAAAATATTCAAAAACAAAACTCCAATTAATTCAATTTAGTAAAATAACGTCGAAATAAAGTTTACTTAAGCATTAAAACTATTTCCAAATCCGACATGCATGTAGTTAAGACCCTCCCAACCAATTGTTTTCCTTCGTTTCTCTGTTCGTTGATTTGTATGCGGGTCTTCATTGTTTGCTAGCGCATACGTACAGAGCAAGCGGCGAATATAAGAACAGAGCGATCGTTGGCAAACCAAAATGAGAAAGAGAACCATAAGCCCCTCCTCATTTGGACGGTTTGTGCGGCAACTAAAGAGAATCGTATCGAAAACGATCTTACGTTATGCTATTACGCATACATTCGTATGTGTTTTGTTGGTAAGGTAAAAGCCGTATGAAGAAGTTACAATCATCATTGCAATGATCATTGAATGCAATTCAATGAGTGCGCTTATCATTTATAATCGAAGCTCGAATATCTACAGCGATGCAAGAGAAACGCTAAACCACAATAATCAAATGAAATTACTCGAAACGGACAAAAACATTTTTAGATGATATTTCATCATTGCCATGAAACCGTATTTTATAACGAAGGATTAAAGTTGATTTGATAGTGAATCATATTTCATTTCTCCTTGTCACGCATTCATAGTACAATACAACTTTTTCATCTCTTCATTCACCACATGAGTTGTCGTTGTGTGTGCATCATGTGTGCGATAGCAGCAATAGCTTCGTTACCGATCTACTATACCTACATCTCTCTACGCGGCACAAAAGAAAAGAAGAAAAAAGCATAGCAACAACAATTCCTATACATCAAGAGAGCAGATAGAAGCAAGAGAAGGAACTAAAAACACAAATACATGCCCTCTTGTGTGTGCGTCGCCGTTGTTTCTCGTATTCGTTCGCATTGGTCATGCCATCCTAAGAGGTGATACTGATGTGCAACACACGATGTCAGTTAAGCATTAGCTTTGAGACGAGTAACAAATAACACGCTGTATATTGTTGTTTTTTTTTACACTCTGATCTTTCGTTTTTTTTTTGTCTATATCAGTACGTGTGCATTTGGATAACCTGAATCAAGAGATAAGACGAGATTTCGCCGACTCTGATAAAAATGTATATTTAGTAAATGTGTAATTGGCTTTAGTGTTTTTTCTTCGTTTGTTTAAATCTTATATTTACTTTACATTTTTTTTTGCCATTCAAAGTAAATGCTCTCAACCCTGACTGAAAATAATGTGCGAACTTGTAATATGCGACAAGTAATGTGTACACTTCGTTCGTGATTGTGAATCAAATACAGAAAAAAAAAATTTGAAGTCGCTCATTCTAATTTCTGAATAAACGATATATATATTACAATAAATAATTCAGTGTGAAAATTGCGCGACGGTCAACTTACACATTTGTTCAATGTGCGCGTCCTGAAGTGATTGCGATGTCGATTTACACATTTAATTTTGATTAACGGACATAGTGATTATATTTGGTTGCAAAAAAAACAAAAACACAAAAAGAAAGTGAATTTGAACTGTACTTTTAACGAGAGAGACAAAAACCTACAAAAACAGATACAATGGATTTATCTAGTTATTTACTGACGATACTTGTAGCGACTATGTGTTGCTGCACTTGCACAGCACTTGATAATAAACAAAAACAAGGCGGTCGCGGTAGAGGTTCAATGTGGTGGTAAGTTTTTGGAATTTAATTTTTCACTTTTTGCCTTGAACAATTTCCATCATTAAAAGTGATAAAAAGCAGACACTTTAATTAATAATTCATTGATCACATATCTCTTTCACCATCGACTTGTTTTTTTTTTCATCTTCATTTATTCTCTTCTTTTATAAATATTGACTTTTCTTATGATCATCTCTGTTCACATAAAGAAAATATATGCCAAATCGTTGTGTAAGTGAGATCGAAACATGCACACGAAATTAACATAACAAAAAAGTGCCTAACCAAAATAACAACACCAAAAAAAACCATATATCAAAATGCTAATAGGAAAAATGGGGAAAAACAATTTATGCAGATAAAAATTGAACCAATTTGTAGTCGAAATGTGGCACAAGCCAAAAAAAAATGAATAAATTTTTTTAAAGACAGAATAACACATGTTTTTGGGAGCAAGAGAAAAAAAATCATGTTCATACAGGGTTTAGATAATCGTCGTCAATTTTTTTTTTTTTGAAAATGGAATATTGATGAATCCAGAACAAGCACATCATCACAAAATATTTATTTTGAATGGGCATTAGCATAATAAATAGAGAATGAAATTAACATGTTCGGTAGCATGGCGCGGTAGCTCTCAACCGAGTTAATCAAATGGGATTATGACAAGATTGATGGATTTGCTGAGTAATTTTTTTTCTTCGTATATTGTGTACGCGGTCCAAAAGAATGGGAATGGAAAAGGAGATTATACAAATTGTACAAATGGAATCATCCATTATTCGATTATGAATACAGATACTGAAAAAAAAGTCGAGCTAAATTCACAATGCATCGAAAGAACAAATGTACTTGTGCATATTTGTGGAATAATTTACGATTTCCCAGCAACACCCACCATGAAACATCCTAAACAGTTTTGCAATGTTTGCGCGTGGGTCAGAAAAGATTCTGTGATTTTGAGATCGCACGTTTTTGATTAATAAAAAAACAGCAGCTACAAATGAAAAAAAAAAAACATTTCGTGTAGGTTGACAAATGCGATGCATTTGATACTAGAGACATTTAGCATAATCTGTCATACGAGCCAACAAATTAATTATGCGGTAATCGGATTTTCTATGCGAAAATTATTCAATTATGAATACGACACATGCTGTGAATTCGCCACGAGAAATCACAATTTTTATTCGATTTTCAACAAGATTTAACAACAGAGAAAAACAAATACTATTCAAAGCACGTAGACAAATTGGCAAGTTAAATGTAAACAGGCCGGTGCCGGTGCTGTTCTGTCATGTTGTCTTTCGTTGACATCCAGTTTGTTTTGCCGTAATCGATTTGATTTAGTTACCGTTTATAGTTTCATGCTAATTACTTTATGACTTTGATCAACGTAAAACGATTACGTCGATTACAAATGTTCAGAGACTCGATCGAGTGATGATGATGTTCTTTTTTCGTCAATATTGAGTCATGTATGAAAACAATTGCACCTCATACTTGTTTGCTAAAGCAAATTGATATGAAATTATAAATATGATTATAATCAAATCGATAATAAAAACAAATTGACTTAATTGCTCAATTTACTACTTGATCGAAATGTATGTGTGTTTGGCTTATAACGTGCGTTTCGTGCAATTTCTCCTATTTCAAAGACAATTATTTTAATTATGTGAAACATTAACGGACTGTTAATAAGTTTTTAATCATATCGTCGTAAAAAAACCAACAAATCGATCTAATGTGCAAACACTTGCATTTTTATGAGAGAAAAAGAGGGAGATAGAAAATGAAAATCAGATTCAGAATATGAGAAAAAAATCGAAAATAACAAAAATACGTTATTGATGATTGAAACGCATTTTGGTACTTGTGAAATCAATTGAAACACTTGGTTTTATGTAAAAAAGAAAAGAAATTTGATCGAAACATGTTTAATCTCAACGCTTGAAAAGTATCACTGATTCTTGCTTCCGATTCAAATTTTGACAGTTAATAAAGTCTATATTTTTGCACCCATTTCGATCTAATTATGGGGTGCATCAACAACCATGTCATAAAACAAGAAAATTATTGTCAATTTGCCTTGAAATTTTCATTTAACACTTAAAAGAAATAAGTATCAAATCTTAAAACATCTTCATCAAAGTTTATAAAGAAAAATGTTCACTTGCTAGCGCCAACAACAACAACACACCCGGCTGTGGTCTTTCATCTCAATGGAAAAAAAAATTCCATGAATTCGAACCACTTTTCCAGCACATCGTATCAATATCCGACTCAATTAAAATTCAATATATTCGGGTGCCGTTGGCGGCACAACAGAAACAGATGTGTATGTTGTGCACGCCGTCGCTTTGCGTGTACGCACATGTCTAATATCAGCGCCAGGCCACTTAAGTTTGTTTTTAAAATATACTACGAAGTCGAAATGTCGGCGGACTAAATGACACATTTACATGTGTTATGCACCATTCACTTTAGAAATATATACAGAAACTTACAACTGGTGAGAAAAAAGAAAGCAAATACGGAAAGAGTGTAGTAATTGACGAAGAGTAACAAAAAAAAAAAATTTACATGCATGTCAACAGAAAAAAGTGAGCCACAAGAAACTCGTGTTCAGTTGTAAACATACTATGAGAAAATGAAGAGAAAAAAAAAACACAGACGATTGTTTAACGTATGTAAATGAATTGGTTTCGAGAAAATTGAAGAAAAAAAGATACCAACAAAAAATTCGGGATTAAATTCTAGATGAAATGATACATTCATATAGCGCCACAAGTCTCGCTTCCTTCTCATTATACAATTCCCACACACGCATTCTCTCAATTACGTCTAATTTGATGATAGGCTTTTTAGGAAAGTTGAACGAAGAAAAAGCAGCAACAACACCAATTCTTTTTCGTTATCTTATAATGTTTACTTCATTTGATTGTTTAAATCGGCTAAACTCTCTAATATTAAGAGTTTGAGTCTGTGATGCAATGCACTTTATAGTCTGATTTTCTAATTGCTAATTGATAAAAATCATCATTTAATTGAAATCGGAACATAGAAAATCCATTTGCTCAAGTAAAACAACATTGAATATATATTCAAATGGCCAGCCACACACAAACGAAGCATGCCACATGCAAATGAAAAGGTAAAACCCGGGAAGAAACAGAAAATTGAATCAATCTAATTAACCAATTATTGTAGTTTGAATAGGGAGTGAGCGTGTGCTCGCGCGCCACATATTGAGTACGGCGCTCAACACAATTTATTTGTGCTATTGCTGCTTTGTCTAATTCGATCAGCGTGGATCATTAATTTTTAAACGTGAAATCTGGAGCTAGCACCATAAACAACGAGAAAGCGAACATAATATGGAAAGTCTCTATAAGTGGTAATCAAACAATCCATTCGAATTTCTCTACTATCTTTCATTCCATTGAAAAAGTTAAATGCACCACTCCTTCATCGTGTGACAATAGAGAAATTCAACTTGGCTTCAACATTTATTACACATGCACTCTGTAGTAAGTTTACCGCATATCTGCTCTGACAAAGGAAAAATACTTTTCCATTCATTCCATTCGAGATTGGTCATTTCGATAAGACCACAAATTGACGTTGATGAATTATTACTCTGGATATTTGACAATTTTCTCTATATATCGATGTATCTGATACAAATCCTTCTTTATGCTGCTTTTAACTAATCAATCCACACGTTTTTTTTTCTTCTTTTATTTCTTTTATTCAATTTATAAAGAATTTATTTTTCATTTGATTTGAATGGTGTCGTTATTTCATTTGAATGATCCATGTTTTTTGATGAATGAATAAGGTGTCGAACAGTGACAATGACACACAGTGTATTGTGGCAAAAAACTTCTGGTCATCAATTTGTCATATCTTTAAGTGAAAGAAAATAAATTGCATACGGAAAGTAGTCAAGCTATAGTCATGTTATGATTATCAAGCATTTTGTCATTTCATTTCAATCCAAAATATCATTCGCATCATCCTTTTGCGTTTCAAAATCGTTCATTTATCAAGTGATGTAAAATGCATAATTTTTACTTGCAAGTGAATGCTATAAAATATTATAATATTAACTAAAAAAATGGATATAAATAAAGTGAATAACAAAATAGATTGGCGTGATGTAGGTGATACGATTTGCTTTATTTGACTGTGGTATTCACCGTCGCATTGACACTTTGTACATAATACACTTCGGAATTCATATTGATCTACTTTGCTGCATGTGTGATGCGAATATTGACCGAAAGAGAAAAGGAGCCGAATGCTGCATTGGCAGGTAGTCACCGAATCGTTTTGTTGTTCAAAACAAAACAAAATATAAAACTCGGTATATATACTTTATATCAATACCGATAAAACAATCAACGACATCTTATTGACAATGAAAGAAAAACCATCGTCAATTAATATTAACTTATTCAATTAATTAGCGAAGAATTTTATGTTGCCGATGACAAAAACGATTGACCAAATGAAAACATTTCAAGACAGAAACATAAAATCAATCAACTTAATTTTTACCGATATTCGAACGATTGGCTGCTTTTTTGTTGTATTGTCGATCTCTTACAAGATGTATTTTGAGTTGTGTTTTCTCTAGCCACTCTTTGGTTCGTCATTTTTGAATTCCAATGTTGTGCAAGGTTGCATCGTCTTATGGCCATGTGGACGTGTCCGTAGCGTAATAAAAATCATTGCTTCGCATTTTTATCATAATAAAAAAACACACACACAAATGAAATGAAGTAAAAAGTGGACAACAACATGTCATTAATTGATCGTTGAACATCACGTCGTTGTACTCGCACGCTCAATCAAACATATGATCGATTGAATCAAATACCATAAAATCGTGATTTAAATTTATTGATTGACTACGTAAAAGCTAATCACTCGTGCTAATTTATTCAATTTTGTAATTTCTCCAACGATTTAACGGTTTAACGCCACTGTTTTTTCTTCTT